CAAGGGGAGGAAAATGGAGAGGCGATCAACCCCATCTTGCTATGGACCTTCTCGCCGCGGCCGGCGCCGCTGGCACGGTGGTCTGATGGGGCCCAAGCACAGGCGTCGCTGCCAGCAGTCTCCGAGTCTTCCTCCCCCTCCAACAAGTCCTGCAAAACAGCCACAAGCTTCCTGAATCTGCGTCTAGCCTGAGCTGAGAGAGGCGTCGCACCCTTATGTCCGGGAGGGCCGGGGCTGGCCGTGGAGGAGGGAGTGGTCGGGCTTGGGACTGGCAACACTGAGCCCGCAGGGAGGGAGGGGGCGGCTGCATCAGCTCTAAGGCCTTGCTGGCCTGGACGTGCATGGGAAGAGGCTTGCGGTGCAAGAGGCTTTTGTAACGCTGTAGGTTATTGGATCGAGAAAGGGCATCATAAGTCGTCAACAAAGACGCGGAGAAGAAGGCGACCGGTCGGACTCCTTCATAGCTTCTGGGTTCATGAGTACGCACACACTGCTACATACAATGATCAATTGCATATTTTGTCTCCTGGAAACGTGTTGAACGAGCACAGCGCGATGCCTGAGGGGAAGCAGGGGGTGCATACCTTCATCGTGGTGAGGAAGGAGGTCTGAAAGCGCTGCAAGCAAGGACAGGAGCTGCACTGTCTCCCCGTGCCCCTGACTTCCCTCTTCCATATTGCTTTCCTTACGTACTGTGCGTGGTTGTAGGATGGTTATGGGGAGGCAACCCATCGATATCAACTTAGAGTGACGTTGGATACTTTCGGTCCAAGGCAATAGAAAGAGACATCCTCTCTTAAACGTGTCACAACTTTGAGGATGAAAGCGGCCGTTTCGGTAAGCGTAGCGTCCGTAATGTTGGCATGCGCACACAACGGTGAAGCGTGGTAAATGACGAGCTAAAGCATACTATAGGGCGAGCGGAAAGAACGCGGCCGCCTCTTGTAGCACTTGGGCTTCTCTGGCGTCGCCCCGCTCGCCCTTGCGGCCCCGGGTAATCCTACGTTTCCAATGATGCGCATTTTTCCTCGCATAATCTCACAATGTCGACGTACGTTCCTGTACATAACGCACTCACAGACTTAAAGGGCCAAAAAAGAAGGTCGACGACACAAAAGCTGCCTGTCCGACCTCCCATCCTCTCTACACCACGAGCGGCATCTCAGAGCCTCAATGCCTGAAATTGTTTAATTTCTGATCAAATCGTCTGAGAAGTTTGGATGGAGCGGAAAGCCTGGGCATTCATATGCCTGATTTGGTGCATCCTTATCGCTTCCACGACCTCTTTTGACTTTTTCCAGGTAGGATGAATGCCGGCCTCTCACCGTGTCCTTCATGGCCCCCGTCCTCCCCTCGTTATGTCATGGTATTTCTCCACGACATCATGCCGATAATTATTTATTGCTTTCCTTGGGTCCTTAATCTCTCCTCTTGACATTCTTCTACCTATGCTTTTCCTTCTTCCACTTTCTCGCCCTTTTCTAGTCTCGTACTACTAGCGGCGGCAGCTTCTTTGGCGGCAGCGGAGGCTTCCCAGGGGGTCCTGGAGGGTTTTATCGCCCGGACAGCGGCGGAGATGGAGAGAACGGCGGAGATAGCGACCAAGGGGGCTACTACGCGACGCTGGGCATCCCAAAAACGAGCACCCTGAGCGAGGTCAAGCGCGCCTACCGGCGTCTCGTCGTGCGCCTGCACCCCGACAAAGGCGGGGACGAGAAGGCGTTCAAGGCCTTGCAGGAGGCCTACGAGGTCCTCTCAGACCCCGCAAAGAGGAGGCTCTACGATGCCTACGGCAAAGCAGGCGTGGAGATGGGGAGCGGGGCCCAGGGAGGGAGGCCAGAGGACGTGTTCTCCTCCTTCTTCGGATCGGGCCGGGCGCGCGGCTTTGGCGGAACGGGCGGCCCCCGCCGGTCTCCCAACCTGTACCTGCAGGTGGAGCTGACCCTGGAAGAGCTCTTCAAAGGCGCGACGCGAAAGGTGCGCCTGAACCGACAGAAGGTAGTGGACCGGCGGCTGGTGGTGGAGCCCAAGGTCTTGGAGGCCGCCTTCGAGCGGGGCATGCAGGACGGGGCGCGTCTGGTGCTGGCGGGGGAGGCGGAGGGGCTGGGGAATGCGGCCCCGGGAGACATCATCATCCAGGTCAGGCGGGTCTGGCGCCAGGGACGAGGCTCGTGCGCCTCCAGGACTCCCACGGGCGCCTCACCCCCCCCCTCTCTCCCTCCCCCTCCCACCATCAGGTTCGCGAGCTCAAGCATCCCACCTTCGTCCGCCGGAACGCCGACCTGCTCTGCGAGATGAAAGTGACTCTTACGGAGGCCTTGACGGGCTTTGAGCGACCCTTACGCCACCTGGACGGTCGGCAGCTGTGGGTGAAGGGGAAGGCGGGGCAGGTGACGAGGCCGGGCTCGGTGTGGCTCTTGGAGGGGGAGGGCATGCCCGTGCGGGGGGAGCCCTCCTTGCGCGGCCGCCTCTTTATCAAGTTCGCGGTCGTCTTCCCCCCG